CCGTAAAAGGGTGAACTAAGGCAAAGTTACCCTAAACATTACATTAAAAAAAAAAAGGCACAAATCCGTACCATCAATCTTCAAAAGTTTTGTATGTGGACGTGGGACTCAATCCTTTTCACTCATTTTTCAAACGTTTTTGACGTTGGACTTGGGGACTCGTTTCTTTTTCATTTCGACCATACAACATTTAAGAAAGTCAAAGAAAGACACTCAAATTATTTTTGACAAGGTTTGGTCAAACTACAAGACCAAAAAAAAAATGCTAAATATGAATGCTTCCCGTTTCCAAAAAAATGCTAGCAAAATTGAAATTGATATCGAAACTGTTAAGACGTGAAACTGAACCATGAAGATCCATTTGATTTGATTCCACAGTTTCATGAGAAGATTCATTTACATACTTAGCCTTTTGCTTAATTTTCTTTTAATCCATTTCTTAGTGTACAAGCTTAAAACTTTTATTTTGTAACGTGATTATTCTGTTAGAAAACTAAATTAAGAATCTCTCAATATTTTGGGCTACTATATTGCTTCAAATATTTATAGCGTACATAATACATTGTATATGATATACAAATTCTAAGGAAATTTGTTTGCTAATTACAATGCACTCAATCTGTAATTTACATATATCGAGAGTTGTGCGAGGCTATAATTTAGCCTCTTATGGTTCAATCTCCTGTGTGGTCAGATGAGGAAATCTTGGAGAATTGTACTGATTTCTCTTGAATATTATCACACCCCCGCAAGCTGATAGGTCATTCAGGAACTAAAAGCTTGGCTTGTAGGAACTAGAATCGTTCTGATGAGAGACATTTAGTGAAAATATCTGCGACTTGATCCTTTGTGGCGATGAATTGAAAGTGTAATTCTTTATGAAGAAACTTTTAACGAATATAGTGGTAATTTATTTCAATATGCTTAGTGCGCACATGAAAGACGAGGTTATTGGCCAACTAAATTGCACTAATATTGTCACACCAAATGAGGGGGCCTTTCTGGAGAAGAATCTGAAGATTTCACAATAGCATGCATAGCCATGAGATTTCAGCGGCTGTATATGCAAGACAACAATACTTAGATTCAGTGGAGGAGTGAGCAATAGTAGATTACTTTTTAGCTTTCCAAGTTATTGGACTAGGAGCCCATTTGTGCTTCTCTATTACTTTAAAGCGCTTTGAACGGTTACCAATGCAAATTTAGTTAAGTAAAGTGTTTGAATGAAGTTAGAATCTCTAGCTTATAAAACTGCGTTATGAATAGAGATTGAATATTTTAGATAATTCTTTTTCATTAGATAATTTAGTTCATTTTATTTTTTATAACAACAATTGTACCCATTCCTTAATAAAGTTGTTATTAACAAATATGGTAATATCATATTAAAGGATATTATTGTAAAATTAGCAATAGAAGTGTTCTAAAAAAATTGTTACCAAATAAATTAAAAAATAATTTAATTGGGATAATTACTTATTATAATGTGTCACCAAACATCTAACATGTTTTTTTTATTGACTGCAATTTTTTGACAGCTCTATTGATAAAAGCTTTATTTATTTTTTATTTTATTTTTATTTCACAGCAATCCCAGGCTCTAGATCTGAAGTAGATACAAAACCCATTAGTGGATCGGTGATCACCCAGATTGCTCGCCCAATCTGCATCACAATAAGCAACAAGAAGATAAAGACCAAACTATAAGGTTCCTTTAAGAAAGCGAATGATTCCCTTAACTGTTGTCATGTGATCTGTGGTTGGAGCATGCATATATTGGCATGCTTGATTTACAGGTGAGATACTGAAGTGCACCAACAATAATTCTGTATTCAGTTGGGTTAGCCAATGGAGCTCCCGAATCTCGATTGAGCTTGATATGAGTTGCAACATGTGATGTCACTGGTTTAGCACCAAGCATTTTTAATTCAAGATAGAATTTCCAATGTATATTTGGCTTGGGATAGGATAATTTGATTAGCTGTGCGAGTGACTTCAACACCCAAGAAATAATGTAAGGGGCCAAGATCTTTCACAGCAAAGGAAAGACGGAGCTGATTAACAAAATGCTAAAGAAATGACTGATTACTTCCTGTTAGAATAATATCATCCACAAAATATTGTCTGGAGTTGGATGGTATCAAAGGAGCCCTGCCTCGTAGATGATATTGGTTTCCATCCTGCCTCATGACAATACTTAAATTGACCGGTAAAATGGCCGGCCAGGATTTGTAAGAGAAGGAATTGTTGACCATAACTTGAATGGGTAAAAGAAATTGCATTACGCATTTTTTTGGAGGATCATTTCAGTAGCCAATGGAATTCAACTTCCTTTTTTTATTCCTTCCACATGCATTAAAATAATATATAATATGTTCGGTTCAGTTTCAAATGATTTGAAGTCGAAATCAAACCAAAACTCAACCGATCGACAAATTAAAAAACCGAAATCGGACCGGCATGAAACCAAAACCGAAACACCAATTCAGTTCGATTCCGATCGGTTCTTTGATTCTACCAATTTTTCATACACCCCTAACTAATACTGTGGATCGATATTATAAAAACGAACCTTGGTGCTGGAGATATTGAGTAGGGACAGACCTAAAAAAATTATGCATGGACAATAGTAAAATTTTGTAGGTCCACTGAGTTGCGCACGTATACAGGGTCGTGCCTGCATGTGGGTGCATGCATGTGTTGTTTTCCTAGCAAAAAAAAAAAATTAATATTCATTTTTCACGAGTTTCAATTGCGGTGATTTGACTCGGTCCCCATTCCATTATTGTAATAGAAGGAATTGCTGACCACAAGTTGAATGGGTAAAAGAAATTGCATTACATATTTTTTTGGAGGATCATTTCAGTAGCCAATCGAATTCAACTTCCCTGTTTTTTATTCCTTCCACATGCATTAAAACCGAAATTGGACCGGAGTGAAATTGGAACCGAAACACCAATTCGGTTCGGTTCGAATCGGTTTTCTGATTCTACCGATTTTTTATACACCCCTAACTGATTCCGCCGATCCATATTATAAAAATGAACCTTGGTTCCAGAGAAATTGAGTAAGGACAGACTTAAAAAAATTATGCATGGACAATAGTAAAATTTTATAGTAAAACTAAACACACTTGGTTTAAGAGTAGGATGGCAAAAATATGTGTTATATATATATATATATATATACACACACACACACACTTGGTTTAAGAGTATGATGGCAAAAATATATATGAAAGGTTACATATATATTCCCTTCTTAAAATAAAAATTGATAGTAAAATCTCATATAAAAAGTTTATCTTATATGTCTAATTTATTTTATAATATATAATACCATATACTTTTTAAATTTATTTTAATTTCTTTGTTTCAATTTTTTTTTTCATGTGTTATATATGGTATGAGTTTTCTTTTATTTTTATTCATTAATTTTGTACAAAATATAATACTAAGTATTTTTAATAAAAATCACTAAAAATTCATTATTGGATTATGCTGCAAAAAATTGCATATCGATGCATTTTAGATCATATGTGCGTAAGGATGGTAATTTGCCGCGCGGGGCCTATTTATAATGATTTCGGGAACCATTTAACTTAATTGGGCATGAATGATTTTTATTAGTAAAAACCCACGCAAAGTGGGGGTGGGCAGCCCCGCCTGTTTATATTTTCTATTTATTAATTTATCCTTATATATATAAGTTGAAAGGACCCTAAATCCTAATCTCAATAACCCTGAATCCAAATTTCACCATATTTTACTTAAACGGGACAGGACTGATAAGAGGATACACCATTTTGTCAGTTTTGAACAGGGTGGGGTAACTTAAACAGAGACCAGGGAGGGGAGGGTACACCTGCCTAAAACCACCCCGTTGCCATCTTGCGAAACAAAAAAAAATTCACAGCTGAAATAATCGATTCCGTTATGTAACTATTTTAATTATTTGTATTTTTATGTGTGTATCCAAAATTAATTTATTTTTTCCTTTCATTATTAAATTATTTTTTTTGAAAGTTCTGAAATATGTAACATATTTTTTTTCTATAATTGATAAAGATTAAGAGTTGTTATATATATACATAACTATTTGTTGATAGCAAAATTGTTTGGTGAAACTAATCTATATTATCTTATCTATATTATCTTAACACAATTCGTTTCATACCTAATATCAAATATTATTTTGAGAAAGTTGTAATTAGATATATAATATTCAATTACATCATTTACTAATAAATAATAAATAATAAAAATAAAACTAACATAAGAAGAAAATAAATACTTAGAAGCTTATTTTTTTTACCTTAAAAATTAAAATATTGAAAATTCATGTCTACAAAGGAAAGTGAATATATATATATATATATATATAGAGAGAGAGAGAGAGAGAGAGGGGGAGGAGGAGAATCATATTCTTTTTCTTTTCATGTTATTCAAACTAACAAAATAATATTTTCTCACCACTTTTTACAAAAAAAATTCCTGCTAATCAAGTACATGATAAAAACTTTCATTTTACTTTCACTTTCACTATTCATAAAATTTTTGGTCTAACCAAACACACCCCTAGGTAAAAATAATACAGACCCCATTTTATTACAGGTAACTGCAAAAGTAGTTTCAAATCTATTAGAGATATCGCGTGGGGAAGGACTGAATTGTGTATTGGACGGTGCCTACGTGTGGGCATGTGCCGTTTTTCTAACCAAAAATAAATAATATTCATTTTTCACGAGTTTGAACTTTCAATTGCTGTAATTTTAGTCGGTTCCCATGTAATGAAGCTTAAAGCCTACGTGCACAAAAAGATGATGATGATCTACAAAATCACGTGAAAGTGTGCATATTAGCATCTACGTACGAACTCTAGAAAGTTATATACATGCTAATGTTAGGTATTTTTAGTTTTTTGTGATAGGCCAGTTTTGTTGGAGAAATTGCTATATAAAGGTGAGCTTTGCGTACATTCTGATCACAGTAACATAGACAAGTAGTAGCGACCATGAAGAACTCCACCAGCTCAGCCATCCCTTCCTATTCCCTAAACCTCTTCCATGGCACACTTGATTTGTCCTGCATTGGCTTTTCATCCACTCTCTTTAACTTTTCAAATGCTACTGATCATTTTCTTCTTATGATCTTCATTTTCTTGTTCCTAATTGTCACTTACCAAACACTGTACAACAAGAAGAATATGACAAAGGGTGGTGTTCTCTCACTGCCTCCTGGTCCAAAACCATGGCCTATAGTTGGGAACCTTCCTGAAATGCTCACCAACAAGCCGACATTCCGATGGATACACAAGTTGATGGAGGACATGGACACAGACATTGCTTGTATCCGTCTCGGAAATGTTCATGTCATTCCTGTCACATGTCCTCGAATTGGACGTGAGTTCTTGAAGAAACAAGATGCAACCTTCTCATCGAGGCCTGTTTGCATGGCAGCCAATCTCACCAGCCACGGATACCTAACAACAGCTCTCGTCCCTCTGGGTGAACAATGGAAGAAAATGAAGAGAGTGATTACTTCTGAGGTGCTTTCGTCGGCAAGACTTCGATGGCTTCACCACAAAAGAGCTGAAGAAGCTGATCACCTTGTCCGATATGTCCATAACCAATGTGAGAACCCGGGCACAGGAGGCATAGTGAATGTGAGAAACGCGGCGAGGCACTATTGTGGTAATGTGATAAGGAAGATGATATTCAACAAGAGGTTTTTCGGGGAAGGTAGAGCGGATGGAGGACCGGGGAGTGAGGAAGAAGAGCAAGTCAACGCGTGTTTCACCATTCTTGAGTACCTGTATTCGTTCTGTGTTTCTGATTATGTTCCATGGTTGAGAGGGAGGGTTGATTTAGATGGTCATGAGAAGATCATTAGGAAAGCTACTGCAAGTGCAAGAAAGTATCAAGATCCCGAAATCGATGAAAGGATGCGACAATGGAGGAGTGGTGCAAAGAAGGTGGAAGAGGACTTGCTTGATGTTCTAATTAGGGCCAAGGATACAAATGGTAACCCATTACTGTCAGCAGAAGAGATCAAAGCACAAATCCTTGTAAGTAGGAGTGTTCATTTAATTCATGAATTCGATTTCAGCTCAGATTGGTTTTTAATTAGTCCATTGATTTGGTGGAAAATTAATAAATAAGTAATTAGTATGGATCGAATTAGTTTACGAATTTAACTATTTGAAAACTGATCCGATTCGGCCCGACCCGTTACATATATATATATATATATATATATATATATATATATATCATACACACACACTACATTTATAAATAAGGGTGAGTAGCTTCACCGTACTCACTAGTGAGTCATTATCGAAATGGAAAATACTTAGCTAGTCACCAGTGAGTAGGGTGAAACTACTCACTTCTATGTAGTCCAATAACAAAATACCAAATCACCTTTAATAATAAAATTATTCACACATTTCTCTGTTTTTTCGGATCAACCATTGAATAAAGATATATTGTGTTTTTAGGTGTGAATTATTTTATTATTAAATGTGATATGTTATTTTATTATTGGCCAAATAAAGGTGAGTAGCTTCACCATACTCACTAGTGAGTAGCTAAACATTATCCAAATAAAAAATACTTAACTAGTCACCAGTGAGTATGGTGAAATTGCTCACTTCTATGTAGTCCAATAACAAAATACCAAATTACTTTTAATAATAAAATAATTCACATATTTCTCTACTTTTTCGGATCAACCATTGAATAAAGGTATATTGTGTTTTTAGGTATGAATTATTTTATTATTAAATGTGATGTGTTATTTTATTATTGGAACAATTAAGAGTGAGTAGCTTCACCATACTCACTAGTGAGTAACTAAGTATTATCCTTACAAAATTAGATCAACTTTTTTATAACTACATCAATAGATAAAGTCCAACAAAAACCTCTTATTAATTTTTAAAAATAATAAAACTCTTTTCAAAATATTTATGTCAATCCTTAATTGTCACATCATGTTGGTTGTATAGCGGATAAGGGAATTCAAAAGTATATAATTTTTCATGGAATAATGCTACAATTTTATTTTAATTTTTAAACCATAAGAAGAAACAAATTCACACACTTATTTACAGACTAGAACACTTGATCTTTGGAGGGTGAAAATATACCACTAGACTACAACATTTGCAGCCTTTGGTGGTGAGTAATGGTATATGCAATTGATATATATATATATATATATATTGCCAACTTCATTAGTAAGTGTGATGGAGATTGCAACTTTTGGTGGTGAGTGATAATGGGACGGTAAATCTAAATTAAAATTAATTGTGAAATTTATGCATGGTTTATGAAGAATGATGGGTAATTAAAATTAAAAATAATTGGAAATTTATTTACAAAATACAAGAATAATTAATAGGGTAAATTAATTATACACTTATGTTCGTGGTTCATATACATTATACATGGCTGCTAATCCAAACCTCTCCAAAAGCAACCATTTTAATTCTTTCCTTGCATAATTATGTACGCATTGATGTTTTAATTAATTTACAGGAACTAATGATAGCAACAGTGGACAATCCATCAAATGCTGTGGAGTGGGCACTTGCTGAGATGCTAAATCAACCTGAGATGCTTCAAAAGGCAGTAGAGGAAATGGAGAGGGTGGTTGGGAAAGACAGACTTGTCCAAGAATCCGATCTCCCGCGGCTCAACTACATCAAGGCATGTGCTAGAGAGGCCTTCCGGCTCCACCCATTCGCGCCCTTCAACGTTCCTCATGTGTCAGTGTCCGATACAACCGTGGCTGGGTACTTCATCCCTAAGGGTAGTCATGTCCTTCTCAGCCGTCCAGGACTTGGCCGTAACCCTAAAGTCTGGCCGGACCAACCACTCAAGTTCAAGCCGGAGCGTCACCTGAAGGACGATGGCTCGGATGTGCTACTGTCTGAACCGGACTTGAGTATGTTATCGTTCAGCACCGGGAGGCGTGGATGTCCTGGGATCACACTGGGGTCTACCATAACTACCATGTTGTTGGCTAGGCTTCTTCAGGGGTTCACATGGAGTGTGCCACCAAATGTGTCCAGCATTGACCTCACTGAGTCACTGGATAATCTCAATCTTGCTAAGCCACTTCTTGCACTTGCAAAGCCTCGTTTGGAAGAAAACTTATACCCTGCACCTTTAAATTAAGTACACCCTTCAAAGTAATAGAGAGTAATTTATGTATTAATTTTCGGACAATATTTACCTACTCACAGGTAAAAAAGTGATCCCTACGTGTCACTGATATGGTCTATTCATAAATAAACATATTTCATGTAATTTCAAAATCAAGAAAATGATAAATGTGGCTGAGTTTGATATTTTACAAATTTTAAGTTTTTTTTATTTATTATAATTTTATTTTTATTTTTTTGGTAGATACAATTCTCTCTCTCCACTATTCTCTGTACTTTTGACGGTGATTCAACAAATTAACATAGTGAAGCTTACCCTTTTAACAAAAAATAAAAAATAAAAATAAAAATATCCATATCCCCAATAGGCATTAACAAAGATTTTATTAGTGATATTTCGGGAAAAACAAAAAAACAAAAAAAACAAAAAACAAAACGAACTATTTTTTTAGCGTTTTCACGTTGGGGAGGTCTATTACGCAACAGGCTGATACAACCCTCCTTTATCCTTTTAGGCTAAAGACCAGGCTGGTCCGGCCCTCTCACTAGAAGCTTATGTCTTAAGAAATACGTAGACTTTTACAAGGACAATGTTCCGTATTATGTACTCTTATCGAATATGGATACTCTTTAGATACTTATAAATATGTGTACAATATTTTCTATATGTTTTGAGATTATTTAAAATACGACACCTTAACTTGGATACATTACAAATATGGCCAAGTCAAAAAAGTATTACAAATGTGACAACTATACACAATTAATAGTGTAGTTGACAAGTCTATATATATATATCTATAGGACAAAATTGCCCCTCCACATTATGCAAATTGACTTCCGAACCACTCTTTCCCAATTTTCCACTTTATTCAATTTCTCTCTCTAAATCGCCACCATGGCTACCACCACCATATACACCTTTGGCCACCGCCGCATCATTACACCTCAACCGCCACAACCACCACCCATCATCATAAAACCTAAATCTTCAATTTCTCAAATAATTTGCAAAAACACATATTTTTTGCCCAATTTCAGAAAGCGGTGATGCTGGTGATCCAGGTGGCTTTTGCGGTGCTCTTCATCAGGCGCCACAACCACCAAACCCATCACATCGCAGAATTGATTGCTAGTCATTAGGACTATTGGACGTCATTGTTATCGTTGGAGGGTCGCAAGTTATGCATGGTTTGTGGGGATTGAGTTGAAATTATGTTAGTGGTCGGTGGTGGTGGACGGTTGCAACGACCCGAACCCGGAGGTCCAAATCATTAACCGGGTCCTTACTCAAACCCGTGGACTCTTAAAGGTACTACGGTCATTTTCTTTATCGAGGCATCGTTAAAATAATATATCAGGGTCCACAAGACTCAATGCATGTAGTCATAAAAGGGTCAAAAAAGGAACAAAATCTGCTCATTAAATAAACTGTCCCAACCCTCAAGAATCGGTCGACGTGTAAGACATACACGTCGACCGGTTTGTGGAACTCGGTCGACATGAAACCAATAGACGTCGACCGGTTTGCCTTGAAACAGTAAAAATGCTTACTATCTAATAAAAATGAGATACTGGTCTGTAATGATCTTGATTTTTCTCTTTTTCCATTTTCTAGAATTTTTTTATTTTTTAAATTTTTTTCGTCTTGTCTCATTTTGCGTGCCGGACACCGTGAGGTATGCCGAGTGAGTCCTGAGAGTTGTTGGGGGCATTTCCTCTAATTCATGACTCTTGGAAATGCGTTGGTTGCTATTTCGGCATCTTTTTATTTTTCGGATCAGGAGGTCCAAGGTAGGACCTGTTACCGAAGTCGTCGTGCACGGGGGTTGTGTCACTAGTTCATTGCATTTCATGCATTGTTATTTTGTATATATTTACATGGTTGTATGTTAATTTGTGGGGCTGCAATTTAATTGGTATATATATATATATATATAGTATAATGTTAAAAAGATATTTTTATTATATACATGGGACCCACCACTATACCATATCATTACTTAATGCCAGAAGGCCATTTACAGACTTCATTTTCTTTTCCTCTCTGCGGTAGTATATATGTTCTCTCAGTTTCTTTTCTTTTTTTCTTTTCTTCTCTTTTTTTTGTCTTTTCACAAGTTATGTTTTGATTTCTTTCAAACCATAGAGAATTTGATCTTTCCACTTAAGGCAAAGTTGATGAGCACGCATGTCGAGATCTTCGTTTTGATCGGAGCAAAGTGTCATTTGGCCACCATTTGGAATTTCAAATTTTGGGTTCAAATTGGTGTTTTTCATCTTTATTGAGATAGGGGTACTCTAACCAACAAGTTTTTTAACCCTAGCTTGTGAATTTTCCCCCTTAAATTTGCTTATAAGCATGTTTAATTTGATTATTTGATATATGGTGTTTAGGATTTTATATGATAATGTGAATTATGTGAATATATGGCTCAATTACATGTTCTTTGAGTTGATGTGATGAAAATATATTAAATTTATGCCTTGATTTGTTCAATATGTTTAAATTGTTTATTTAAGCATGAGTTATGGGTATATTGTTGAGAATTATTGATTTACATAAGATTTCATTGTTAATATTGAAATTGTGTAGCATAAAACATTCATGCATTCCATTGGGAAAAGAAAAGGGGAAAAGTGTTTTTTTTTTTTTTAAAGCAAAAAAATTGTTTTGGGAGAAAAAGTTTTCGAAAAGTGTTTGCGAAAACCTGGACGCCTAGAAGTCACCTAATGGTCCGTGATGTTAGTTTGGTCTAGAGGGGACTAGGGAGAGACCCTTGCGTGGTTGAGCTACCTAAACCGGATACGACGCCTTGGAGTTGCTTTGTGATCGTGGATAGTTAGCCAATCCTCCTCTCGTGACGCCTTGGAGTCACCTTAGGTCGGACTGCACTAACGGTTTGGAAAGGTAAAACAGTATTGTTTCGGAAATGGGGAACGACATTTCATGGCATGGCATATCATTGGCATATTTTGCACACTTGGTAGTCGGATGACTTGTGTATGCATTTATTAATATTATTCCTGTTTTAATTACTTCCCGAGACATGATCCCGTTTACTTATACTTTATGCTTTGTGTGGATTCACGGGTCATAAGAGGTGTATCTTAGATACTTCTTACTGAGCGGTTGGCTTACCCCATCATATTATTACATTTCTTAAGTCACGGGAAGGAAGTGGCGGACGACGCTCTTTCATAAATTTGAATGAGTTAGTGGACTGTTTTGACATCTTTTATATTAGTAATCTCGTTTTTTTTTTGTATAGCCTTGGGATGTCACGTATATTATGTATCGACCTTAGAATTAACCATAATGCCCCTAAAAGACCTCGGGTTTGGGTAAGGACCCGATAAACTATTCGGACCTCCCGGTTCGGGTCGTTACATGATGGACATAAAAAGCCTACACGCTGACCGATTATCCTCAGGTTTGTGGTTTTAGTTCCTCTTGAGTGCCTTTGGCACTTGACATCCTTCTTGGCTCGCTTGCAACATTATGAATAATTTTGAACCAATTCCAAAACTTGTATAAAGAGAATAAAACATCATATGCTTAAAAACGTGGATCATTTGATGAAAACACCCTTTTTAATTGGAAATTCCATTATCAACCACATAACATTCTTTCATGAAAATCATTTAAAGACGGCCATCATCATGCGTTCTTGAAAATCTTTTGAAACATTCATGTCCATTTATATCCAAAATAATAACATGCTGGACAATTTACATCAACAAAACAATTCTTTTACATTCCCTTTGAAATGAGTTCTAAATGGTACAAGTTCATTCCAAGTTTTATAAAGAAGGGAAAATAATCATGGCTACAAAGGACATCCAAAATAAATTTTGTGTCTATGTCTAGGCTCGTAAGAATGCAGTATCTTCCACCTCGCTTCCAAGTCCTGAAAATGCTTAAAGTAGAGGGATGACCACCATCGCTCAGTAAAGTATGCCCAAGGCATGGCTCCTAAATCCCCGTGAGTAAACATATATAGAAAAAGGGATCAAGATAGGAGGGTCATGCTATTATGGGAAAAATACGGTATCAACAATATATGGCATTAGCAACAACATAAATGTATCAACTTAATCACATTCACATACACACAAGTCCATCACAAAACTAACAATGCAATCAATGCTTATGCCATGAATCCTCCCAAACCAATCCCATGATCTCACCCTACTCACAAATGCACTTTCCCAACCAATCCATCTCACTATACAGATCTACACTAGAGGCCTCCAACTCCAAATGGCACAAGTCTACCACTTATCCACCATTTGAAACACTGGTTAGCTAGCCCTGGCGTAAGAGCACCGCTCATCACCATTTAGGGCCTAATTACCAAAATCTCATAAACAAGACTACCGCTCGTCTTTCGTCCATCCCAAATATTCTACTAACTTGAAACTTCATCATTCTCACATTGCCTTTTCACTTACACATTCTCTACCCAATGCATGAGTCATAAATACCTCATGAATTAATAAACCTAACTAGCATCATGAAATGAATATGCTATTAAATATCATCAAAACTGCATTACACGAACATGCTTCCACAACACAAGGTTTAACACTTTATTTTTCATAATCAATTTATCAAATATCAAGCATGCTTATAATCAATGAAAATCCATTCTAATTATGAAATTCATAGACCTTATCAATTTTTTCACTTTTCCCTTGAATTGTCATCTACACATACAATTTAACACAAATTTCATAATTAAAGTATGTTAGCAAACTCTTCACATAATCATTTTGGTATATTATTTTTAACATACAAATTAGGGGTGGCAATTTATACCCAAACCCGCCTAATAAAATTAAATCATTTGGATAATCAATTTAAATGAATGGGTAAAAAATGGGTACTCATTATATTCATGGGTAAATAATGGGTGAATAATGAGTACCCATCTTAACCCTTTCAAACAAAACTATTTTTTCTCTCCTCCATTTCTCTCTATTTCTCCTTCTTCTTTTTTTTCTCCCCTTTTTTCTCTTCTCTTCCCCCCTTTTTTCTCTCCTCCGTTTCTCTCTTTTTCCTTTCTCTCTCCTCTATGTTTCTCTCTTTTTTTTTTTAAAGTTTTATAACTCTTTTGTTTGCTCTCTCAAAAATTTTAGAGAGATAAATTAATTTCATCTCTTCTTTTTTTCTTTTTTCTTTTTTAAAAAAA